ATTGCACCAGAATTATTGTACCCTGTTCTGATGTAGTATACATCCTTCATTCCAATATTTCATGTTGTACAAAAATGGCAGGATGTAAAATTTAACATTTGTTTAATTTAAAGCAGAGGTCACGGATTAGCGCACCGCGGTCTGGATCCGGACCTACCTGCTGGCTAATCCAGACCCAACCTGATTTAAAACATTTATAAATTACAGCATGTAGTCCAATGACAGTGTCTAACTTCACTGTTCACTGCACAATATGGTATATGATATGGTATATTTTTTTTTATTTAAAAAGTCACCCTATAACATGTTTGCATAAACACCTAATTTTACTTATGGACACTGCTGATTTTTAATTGGTTACCCCTGATTTAGAGCATTCATATTTGAAAACTCCAAATTCCATGGTGTTAAACATGCAGTGTTGACTCTTTCAGTTATTACATGTACTGGTGTAAGATATACAGTATGTAGAGAGTTAATTTAACACTAATTCAGAGTGGGACAATATGCACTTGAATTGGTTTTAAATTGACCTCTTAAAGTGTTACTTTAACACTGCAAAATTTTCTGTACATGGCAAGTTACTGATCTGTGTCACAGAAGCTCAAAGCTAATTTCCTTAAGAAAGTAACATCTGGTCATGTTTACCCATCAGCTAGTGAAGATATATTCTCGTTATGTTTTTAAAACATATTATATTTTATGAGCAATTTAAATCTCCTATTTTTTTTTAAACATTGGTAATTAAATTTTCCTTATTTTTCTCCCTGGTCTTTTTTTAAATTAAGCATTAGTATAAACATTTGTTTAATATTTCATTTATTGTTGCGGCATTTTATGTATTAATACAGGCATATCTACCACCTAGAACAAAAACTAAAAAATCTACAAATTGGTTTTAATTAAGCGCTTTGGTCAAGTCTCCTGACTTGAAAAAGCTTTTACCATTTTATTTCTTTGACTTTTACTATTGTATTTTTAATAACTGGCTGTGATTTTTTTTCACATAAGGTCAATTTGCTCTTACTGTGTAATCAGTTTTCATTATCTATGTATTTGACCTTGTTTGAAGTTGTTTTCATTTTTTTGTCAACGGTGTTTGGCTGACACCGCTATTTTCCCCAGTAAATGATAATAAACTATATTTCTATTTTATTTTATTCTCTTAAATTCAATCTATATTACAGCTGATAGTTCATGCTCATGGCTTTATTAGAGGTTCAAATGAGCTGTCATTAAAGTAAAAAAAGTGATCTATCAGAGTTTAGTTTAGTCAGTTATTCAGTTTTGATTTATTTATTTTTTTGTTGCATTATAAACCTCTTATCTTCAGTAAAAAAAGTCTATGGTTGCATTTTACCACTTTTGGTTAGAAACTTTCAGTGAGCTGTATTCTTATAAACAGCCATCCCAGGGGCTCTGAGGTAGGAAATCAATAGGCATTTGACTGGACAACATGATCTTATGCTTTCACAACAAGCAACAGTCTCTTTCTAAGTAAATAAGACAGTAAGACAAGCCACTAAATCTGGTGAAACCTAGGATTTTCAGTTGATTTAATGCTTTTTATAATACCTGTTTATTATCACATAAATTACATGATGATAGATAAATGATTTAGATGTCAGTATACCGCTAGGATTGTGTTTGTCTTTACTAAATCAGGTAACCTTTGTTGATCCTCCTCTGGGTAAAAGAATTGCAGTTCTCTTCTGCCGCAACATAAAAACTGAAATTGAGTCCATAGAGTACAAATGCATCTGCAGCAGGTCTTATTTTTGATAGCTGAACGGGTGTAGGTGAGACTAATCTAGCCGATGACAGACTTATGACCCTTGGGCCTAAGCGAGAAACTACAGAATCCTAAAACAGCTGTGGATCTATTTGGGTTCAACCTTACCTCTTCCCCCAGGGGAAGGAAAATACAGTGCAGAATGAGGCTTCATCAGCAGGGTTAAAGACGCTCTGTTTCACACAGCAGGGAACACAGAATTTCTCCTCTCAAACACTTAAGCCTCCAACCACATGTAAACAACAGAATGGATGGTGTGGTGCAGCTGGCTGATTATATATCTGCTGAAGTTTCATTTCAGAGACAGACACATGGGGTGTTTGATTTTGTGGTGAGCTGATCTGTGCTATAACATTTCAAAATTAAAAAACGAATGAATAAGGGGACTATTGCATTAACTTATTTTAGTATTGTTCTAACTTTGACACTCATTGTATAAATGTATTGTTTCTAAATAGTTTATATGAACAAAATCAGCCATGATGGATTAATTTTCGAGACCTCAAAAAAAAAAAAACCCAGATAGGTGAATTCTGCACAGAAATAAAACAACGCAAATCATCAACAGCTCTTTTTTGCAATGCTATTGAATGGGTTTTAACACCTTACCATAAACACTCAATGTCTGTTGACATAAGGTTGCTCCCAGGATGATCTCTGCTGCATCTCCGGGGAATGAGGTGGAGGATGAAGGTGCCCTGTGGTTGCATCAGCTCGCTATTTATAGTGGAAAATTAACAGACTCCCCTAATGGTTTAACAGCAGCGGTAATGTATTGCAGCTGCAAAAGATGTATGAAGCATTATTGCTGTAGTTGTAATTAAGAGGGAAATGAAAAACCTAACATATTCAGCATAGCTTACTCCATCAAGACTGGAAAAAGTATACAGTCTTCACTTACACATTGACAGGTACTTCTAAAACTAGCCTAGGGGTGTCTGGATTTCTGCTAGTTTGAAGTAAAATATCAAATGGGAAACATTGCTGTTACCAGGAATTTCATAAATGCAAAGGTTTTGTCAGTAAGGAAGAGACTGCCCTGATCTGCATTATACTGCACCATGGCTCAGTTAGTTTCTGCTTTTCTAGATAATTTGATTTTAGGACATAGGACCAGGCACAGGAAGGTGTGCTGGGTTATCAGAAAAAATCAAAAGCAAAATATACAAAAATAAAGACAATCAGCTAGATATATTTCATCTTCTGATATCGATCTATCTGATATAAACCAGAAAGAAATATTTCAAAACACCTTAATTATACCATAAAAGTACATTTAAGAAATGATTAACCTTCTCCAGTTGTAATATGCCATTGTGCACTTCTCTTTAAGTCAGTCTCTCAGGCATCTATGATTACATTTAACCAAATCATGCTTAGCTCTTGCTTCTGTCTCTACAGGGGTTTGGTTCAGCTTTATGTTGTGGAATACATGCAAACACTGGGTTGTAAATATTTAAATGTTCATCGGCATTTGCCAAATGATTAAGTCAGTTACCTATAAGTTATTTTGCATTGTTTATGTAGAAGTGATAGCTAGAAACAGCAATGATGGAAAAGCCATTATTTTACTGTAAGACATATCTAATATCTTGCAAAGTAACTGAGGATAATATATTACTTTCTTAGCCTTAAGAAAGGGGGGTGAGAGGGTGTATTAACAAAAAAGGCTTTTTTTCTAATTTTCTGTCCTTTATCACTGCTTTTGATTTCAGGAATCGCAGCAATTACACAGGCTACACATTGTCCTTTTGCAAAGTACAATACTATACTAGCTTTATCTAAACACCCACAGGACCAAAGCGCTGTAAACAAAATAAACACTTGCTACCATTAAAGCAAGATTAAGATCAATGCACCGTGACATAAAAAAAGCACCCCTACCCTACAACAATAGATCAATCATAGAATAAACAAAATTAATAGAAATAGTATAGAAACAGTAGGTAAAAAGTGTTTCAGCCCTCTGGTAAGATCTCTCAAAATTCAAATTAAATATCTCTCCGGCTATGTCTATGTAAGTAAGCAAGTAAGTAAGCAAGTAAGTAATGTTTATTTATATTGCACCTTTCACAGACATAGAGGACACAACGTGCTTCACAAAATTACAATGCAAATAAAAATTATGTTAGAAATATAAGGATATAAGATGTCCTTAATTCATCTAAGCAAAAAGATAAGCAAATAATTCAACAAAAAATGTGAAAAGGAAAATTGTAAATACATCAAAAAAGGGAAGAAAAAAAATTACTAAGTTTAAAGGTGTATTACAACTGGCTTAAAAGTCTATCCATGTGTCCATTAATTAAACCTAAGCTTGCCCTATAGGGTTGAGGGAATAGGTGGTGTCTATTTTCAACAGTTTGTGGGCAAGAGGGGGCTTACATCCAGGAAGAGGTCCACAGTCCATCACAGAGATACACATGGCATATAACAATACACACACACACATACACAGACAATTGGTACTAAGTGCAATGTAAAGTGGCCAATTAACCTAACCTGTTTTTCTTAAATACTAGGATGAAACCAGGAATACATGGGGAGAATACCTATGACCTTTGTTGCTGCAAGACAACAGTGCTGACAACCATATGAGCCTACTTTATATAAAACAATTAGATGCGGTCTATCAAAAACAAGGTTTAGCACAGAAACAACTCCCCATCAACATACTCTATTAAACAGGTTTTCCTCAAAACAAGCTTCCCTGGTATTAAAATAACAGCAGTCTACAAATAATTCAGAATAAGGAATATAAAGGTCCTTGGAGAATAAGATAAAATATTCCAGCTGGTTCAAGTGATTACTATACCAAGTTCTTATGTTATAATCTTACTGGTTTATTTAGTGTTTTGAAATTTCATGAATAAACCTTGGTTTAAAGTACACATCACTTGATCACACTGAGAATGTATGCACAAGCCAATTAGCATTCAAATCTTGGCTTCAAATTAAAAAGCTCTTGGCAACTCAAAGGTCTGAAACAGAGGTAAATATTTGGACAGTTCTTTAACAGATAAGAAAATGCAAGAATTTTGAAAGATTAAGTGTTGAATCTTTGTTTATTTATGGGGTTTGTTGCTATAAAAACTTCTTAAATAAATCACCCATGTCATTCTAACATGTAAAATCGCAGTACATACTTGAGTTATGCTGTTAATGAGTATCCTTCAAACGCTAATTTTCATCTTTGCTCTCTCTGCAGTGAGTCCAGATGTGACCGGTGATTACAAACATCATCATTATCATCATCCACCTGCCAAGGACTCAAATATAAATGGAAACTCTCACAGCCTCAGACTGACTGGAGTTATCTGGGTCCTAGCATTACCCTGCTTACAAATGATCCTGGACTTATAACAGCTGTCTCTTTGCCCCATTAAAGATTGAATTTAGATATTTAGTTTGTCTGCCCTAAGATGAAAAAGCCACTGGACGTCATTGGCTGTGATATACCACCTTGGACACAACCTCTACTGAGCTAAATGTAAGACTGCATATCATGGCTTTAAGAAATCAGTTATTTTTGATAAGTTAAGATTGGATAAGGTGAGGTGGACATTTCTAAATGCTTATAATGACTTATTTATGAAAGGAAGCATAAGAAAATACCTATGCTATAAATGTATGGTCTATAATAAGTTACATTACTGTACATTAAGTAAATACTCTGTAAATATGTATGCACTACTGTACTTCTGCAAAACTTAGTAGTGTGCAGATTGTTTTAAAAAGGAATTTATTTCTTCTGCAGTTGAAATATTTGTATATGGTGAAAATGCGTTTTTTTTCATAAAAGGTTGTCATAACAATTACTCTGTGTGAAAACTGGCCCCAACTTTTTTCCCCCTTTTTATTCAAGTACTTTATGACTGTATAAAGAAATTTAAAAGAACTGTAAGGCATGTATGAAATACTATCTTTTTTTAACCGTCAAAAATCAAGATTAATTGATGCTTTATAGTTTATTCAGGGAACTGTACAGTAATACAACTGCAGGGTGAAAACTGCAGAAGGAGAAGAGTGGAAAGGTGTAGATAGGGTGCATGTGAGAGAATTCATGGCACTTTCTTCCTTAGAAATAGATTAGTTTCCTCAGGAGTCTATTATCATCTTTCAAACTCAATCCAACGCTGCCTTCATAGGCCTGGATGAGGGCTGAGAGCTTCAGGAGCCACGAGCGAAGAAAAATATGATTGCCTAGACCTGCTTTCTGACTGCATAAAGCTGGTGTGTTTCTTACAGATTTTTATCCTGATACATGTAAATAAAAATAGATTTATTTTAATGTTAGTCATGCATTTTTGGTCAGTGGCTGGGAGAGAGAAGCCCTTAATGATAGTAGAAAAGTGTAATTTTTTACCCAGACATGTTAAGAAGGGCCAAGCGCCTCCCAAACCAAGTTAGATTATTTATTTTATTGTGTAATATGCAGCAATAGATTATGCTCCTGAATTTATACCATCAATTCTTATGTAAAAGTACAATGCTGTGAATTATATTCAATTAAAAAAGAGGTATTTCACTGATTTGAGCCCTTTTGTGCCCATGCTTTTAAAATGTTGAAATTATCCTGTAAATTATGATTTAAAAAAATAAGGAAACCTCTTAGCTAAATGCAGTGGTTATGTTTCAATGATAGTCTTTCAGATGACTGTCATTGTCGCAGTGTTCAGATGTAGCTTCACTCGAGTGTTAATTTGTATGTCTTTTCTACTGAATGCTTCTGTTTAAATCTCAATCAGAATTAGTTTTGCTGCTGTAACATTGAAGAGTTTTCTGCTATAATCAAAAGTAACATTGTGCCAACTACACAGGATTGCATGGAGAATTCAAAATCTTAAAATGGGCAATGATTTTAAATTACCGTATTTAAATATAGGACCTTTTGGGATGTAGGACAATGTCAAACAAAGAGCAAACAATCTTAGTGAAAAAAAATAAGCTTGGTCTCAACAAGACATGTAAATAATTATTCTCCTGTCTTCAGTATCTTTCTTTTTAACCCATAGAATTACAGCAAATAGAACAGAGAAGAATAAGTTGAGTTGTCTTGCAAATAAATCTGCACATTGGACAACAAACATGCAAACCAACTGCTTCATTAGTAAAATCATAAAAAGGCCACCCTTACTATCTTTAACATTCAGTTTGATCTCTGGAGATTTTTGACAAATCTCTCTGATACCTGTACCACCAACTTCTCTGACATTTTTAATTTATACAATTCAAAATTTCAATAATTCATGTCTCAACAATATGCATACATTATATATCAGTTTGTGTATAAATAAAGTATTTTCTATCTTAAATGGCACATATCAATCATAAGATGTTACAACACCACTGAGTAGTAGTCTTTTAAGTCACCCACTATAAACCCAAGCCAATTATGCACAAAAAACATAATAGGTTTAACTCCTGCATGTAACCTAGTAGAGTAATCCCTCTCAAAAACTGGAGTCTGTCAAAGGTACTGCTTTAAAAACAAAAACAAGGATCTGTTAAGCAAAGACAGAACTGCCATTTGATTGTTTGGGCAGGGGGTGGTGGGGGGGCGGTAATTTTATAGAATGTGCAGATGAACTTTCAGCACTGTCTACTTTATAGACAACTGGATAATTGGTAATTAGTCTTTTTGATGTGATATGGCCAAATTATTGACCATTATTATTAACTACATTAATGATTGTTACAATGCAACAATAAAAACTGCACATCGACATAGGTAATTATTACTGTCTGAAGCATAATTGTAAAATGTCTGATTAAGCATTTAAACTGAAGTCAAAAATTGTTTTGACATTTCCAGAGCTTCTGCTATCTTTTTGTTCTTTCTTTGTCTGCTGGTAGTTGCTCTCCTCTCTCTTTTCTCTCCTGTCTCAACTCTCTCACTCTCTCTCAGATGCCAAGCCACTCTTAATGCCTGACACCTCCCTCCCCACGTATTAAGGTACGGCAGTCTGTATAAAAGATTCAGTCAAGTAATCTGTGTACATTATGTCTGATTTCAGTTAATGTGTTTTATTCTGTTGAGACGTGGAAGTAAAAATGGGAACCTGTAAAGTTTATCAGGTTTTAAGGAACCAGGGATTCCTTTTCTCTCATGATTTCCACAAATGGATTGAGAGAAAGATCATGGTATTGTTGAACTAAAACGCTTTCCAAGTAGACCCATATGTAAAATCCAGATATTTTCACTTTCAGTTTGCTGAACAAAGGGATTAAAGGACATGGATAAGCTCATAAAATGAAAGATTGGGAGTGAAAATCTGAGACAAATCATTCTTGTTATATTTTTTATAAAAAATGATCTATGATAATTTGCATGCATAATGAAACTAGTGTGTTGGGCACCAAACCTGACCCATGGGCCATGGGCTTGCATCTTCTAATTCTGATTTTGTTCTTACATTTGCAATTTTAAAGGCTCAGTTAACAAAGAAAAAAAAAATTATGGAGCAGTGCTAATGCCACTTAAAAATTGATTTTTCAAGTTCAGACCCGTACCTGATAATCCTTAATAACCAAAAATCTGTCCAGAAAGAAAACCAAATAATCATAATAATAATAATAATAATAATAATCATACACTCAGATTTTATTGCTTTATTATTTTGCCTTTTTCTTTTAAATAGATTTTTTGCTCAGCTTCAACAACATAATATCGGTGAAGAAAAATAGCAACAACCTAAATGTAAATTCTTATGGATTTCTTTGGGTTGGGGTTCTCTAAGTCATTTTTCCAGAAGCCACTGGCTCCTTCTTAATTGGGCAAATTTTTGCTCCTAACTCAGTAAGAACACTATCCTGGTTAGAAAATTAACTTTGGACTCCTGCGCTGAATCTAGACAGCCTATAGCCTTGAGGAAGTCATTAGTAGACGGACTCGGACATGGATGATGCTAGTCAAATAAGAACTGAAGCCTTCCTGAAAAGTACATAAATGCACCTAAAGGAAGGGTGTGTAGATTTGCATGTATCACTTATCGTACACATCAACAAATACATCTGAGCATCATTTTACAAAAATAGAATAAAAGAAATGATTACATATCTTATTCTTTAGTTTCTTTTTTTTAATAATTTTTCACACAATAATTTTTAGAGCACAAATCCTTGAACACTTTTGTGTATTATTATCAATGACTTTAACAGACAGACCAGTTTGAATTGCCCAATGAGATGTTTGTTACATTCTCAACATTTACTGTATCTATATGCCTTTCTTTCCTTTTTACTTATTTTTATTATTTTTGGTCTCGTTATTGGAAATTCCTACATGGTTACAATCATTTATCAAAGATCTTAAAAGCGAAACTTGTGAAAAGTCCCTGCTTCTCCCTGGAAACCAAATATTGCCACACTCAAAGTCAGTGGCATTATACTTTGAACAGCCGTGTTAATGACAGGACCAAAGAATAGTGTCAAGTCTCCATTGACACCCAGCAGTCTCTGAAACAAAGGTTCCTTGAGGCTAAATATAGATGTAAGGTTATGGTGATACTGCTGTAGCTAAAGAGAATGATTTTGTTTTTATTCACTCCTGTAGAGGAGCAAGGAAAGAGGTAAGATCCTGTAATTTCTGCCATCTTAATGACATAGTAACCTGAAAAGCTTTTCCTTCACCGAAACTTGTCAAAATTTGTTATATCGATGAGAACAGATAGACTTATAAAGCATAATTTAAATAATTATTGTAAAAACACTATTTTGTTTTTTTTTCTTTATTCAAAAATACTTTACAATTTACAAACCTATAGTTCAAGTGATTTATTCAACTTATTATAATTTTGCAAAAAACCCAAGCAGTTGAAGTATGAGACAGATTGTTCTGATATGAAACATTTCCAGGAAAAAAAAAAAAAAAATCTTTTGTTTTCTTGTAATGAACTTGCACGGTGAGTTATATTTTATTTAGATGTAGAACATTAAAATCAATGCATAACAGGGGACTTTCAACTTTGTTTTTCCCATTTATGTTATTTTTTTGTGTTCTGTTTTTTTAAAGATAACTTTGATTGATACAATATTACATTTTAGAAGTTCCTAATACACAATATTTCATCAAAATAAAGATTACTGAAAAAGTTCTGCTTGTGTGTAACAACACTGATACAAGAAGCAGTGTTCATTCTCTTTGTAAACATAGCTGTCTATTGTCTGAGGAACTTGAACCATACTGTGCCCTCATGCTGCCTTTTAAATCTGTTATCTCACGCTTTAGTGAGCAGTCATGACCAGAGGCAAGAGCTGAACGAAGGCCTGGTTTGAACAAAACGAAGGTCTGTGATTAACAGCCCAACTGACTGTGAAGTACATTTCTAGCCAATGTTTACAGCCCGAAATTGACTGTCTTTTTGGTAAACATTTATAAATTAAACATTTGAAAGAAAAGAAGTAAAATGCATTCAAAGTGCTACAAGAATAATAATAAGAAACTTTCGAAATACAATAGGCCTTCGCAGCGCTTCGCTGCTCGGGCCTAATGAGGACATGCTATATACTCTGACATCATTTAAGATTGAACTCATCCAGTGTTGGGCAAGCTACTTGTCCAGTGTAGTGAGCTAAGCTATCAGCTACTCAACAATAAATTAAGCTTCACTACACAAAAGCTACCACCTAAAGAATTATAGCAAGCTAAGTTACACTAATGTGTTAAAAGTAGCTTAACTACATCAGAAGCTACTTAACGTTGTACCAACCTAATGTCAATTCAAAATGAGTCTGACACACTAGTTAAAATATTTATTAAAGATCAGCCAATGACATATCACAGTGT